GTTAAGAGTCCTAAGTTTGAGTAATCTTAGCATAAGCGAGGTACCAGAAGTCATCGGTAGTATGAAGCACTTGCAGTATCTCAATCTATCTCAAACTAAAATTACCCATTTACCGGAAAATGTCTGCAATCTTTATAATTTACAGACGCTGATTGTTTCTGGTTGTTATGAATTAGTTAAGTTGCCTGAGAGCTTCTCAAAGCTTAAAAATTTGCAGCATTTTGACATGAGGGGTAGTTTCATGTTGAAGAAGATGCCCTTAGGGATTGGTGAGTTGAAAAGTCTTCAAACTCTCTCCAGTCACATTGGCTTAGCAATAACTGAGCTTACTAATTTGCAAAATCTCCATGGGAAAGTTTGTATTCCGGGGCTGGGCAATGTGCAGAATGCAATGGATGCACGCGAGGCGAACTTATCACAAAAGCGGCTTACTGAGATAGAGTTGAATTGGGGTTCTGAGTTTAATGATTTCCGAACGGGAGCACTTGAAAAAGAGGTCCTCGATGAGCTGAAGCCTCATAATGGCACACTAGAAAAACTCGGAATTGAGTCATATAGAGGTATAGAGTTTCCAAATTGGGTTGGGGATCCCTCCTTTCATCGGTTGACTCATGTGTCAATAGAAGGGTGTGAAGAATGTACATCTCTACCAAGACTTGGGCAACTACCATCACTGAAGGAACTGTTTATTGGTGGGATGAGTAAGGTGAAGGTTGTAGGTTTGGAGTTACTTGGAACCGGCCTTGCATTTCCTTCACTTGAAATCCTACGGTTTTGTAGAATGTCAGGGTGGGAGGAATGGTCAACAAATAGTGGGGCGTTTCCTTACCTTCAAGAGCTTCTTATTGAATATTGTCCTAATCTGGTTCAGGTCTCCCTTGAAGAACTACCTACACTAAGAGTTCTGAAACTAAGAAAATGTGGCCATGGTGTCTTGAAAAACCTTGTTGATGTAGCTTCATCACTCACCAACTTGGAAATAGATGATATTTGTCCTAATCTGACTCAGGTCTCCCTTAGAGGACTACCTTCACTAAGGTTTTTGAAACTAATAAAATGTGGTCATGGTTTATTGAAAAGCCTGGTTGATGTAGCTTCAACAATCACCAAGTTGGAAATAATTGCCATGTCAGGGCTTACTGATGAACTGTGGAGAGGTGTTACAGAGTATCTTGGGGTGGTAGAAGAAATAAGCATCCGTTCTTGTAATGAAATAAGATATTTGTGGGAATCAGAAGCAGAGTCAAGTAAGGTTCTTATGAATTTAAAGAAGTTGGAGTTAAGAGAATGTGAAAATTTTGTGAGTTTAGGGGAGAAAGAGGAGGATAATATTAATAGTGGGAGCAGCCTAACATCTTTTAGAAGGTTGAAAGTATGGAAATGTAACAACTTGGAGCATTGCAGTTGTCCAGATAGCATGGTGGATTTGGATATTGAAAGTTGTGATTCAATTACATCACTCTCCTTCCCAACAGGAGGAGGGCAGAAGCTCAAGTCACTTGTCATCTTCAACTGCAAGACACTATTGGAAAAGGAGTTGGGAGAAAGAGAGAAGACAAGGGTGCTTATCAACTCAAGCATGCGGATGCTTGAAAATGTATATATAAGTTATTGGCCAAATCTGAAATCCATCAGTGAATTGAGTTGCTTCATTCACCTGAACAGATTATATATATCAAAGTGTCCGAGTATAGAGTCATTTCCTTACCATGAGTTGCCGAATCTCACCTCGTTAACAGATCTTACAATAATAGATTGTACAAGTATGGATGTATCCTTTCCTTGTGGGCTTTGGCCTCCGAAACTGTGTTTTCTTAAAATAGGAGGGTTGAAGAAGCCCATCTCGGAGTGGGGCCCACAGAATTTCCCAACCTCGCTTGTTGACCTAATATTACATGGCGGGCCATATGATGATGTGAAAAAGTTTGATCAATTGTCATATCTTCTTCCTTCATCCCTTACTTATCTTGAAATAAATGGATTTGAGAAACTGGAATCGGTTTCAACGGGACTCCAACGCCTCACCTCCCTCCAAAAATTCTTCATTAGCAACTGCCCGAAGACGATAGATCTACCAGAAACATTGTTGCCTTTACTTCTGGTATTGAGAATAGAAGGATGCCCAAATCTGAAAGAAAGGATTAGTAGAGGAGGCTCCTATTGGCCCCACATCTCCCTTATCCCCTGCTTCAACATACACCAGTAAGGAGTAATTACTAGATTATGTGAAGGTACATCCAGATTTCTTTTCCTTGGACTTCTTTTTAGTTTCAATGCGTATAACTTAAATAACTATTTTACCTCATTCAAATATAATATTAATACAAGTATGTATTTCGTCAAAGTATTTGTATCTAAATATGTAGTTAACCTGGATATGCTTACTGGTTTTTTTTTTTTTTTTGGATTCTACTGTTTCTTTTCATCCATGAATATGAATGGGGTCGTCACCATGGAAGGGTGATCATGATGAACTGCAAAATGGAATTATTAGAATCGAAGTATGTGTAGTTGGAAATATATAAATTATAAAGTCATGACAATAATAATAATTTAATGAATATGCTCAAATCATGAATCATTTTGATGATGCATTATTGTCTTAAAGCTACCAGGGTTGTATCCATATCACGTGACAATGCCAATAGATATGCTGTTTATCAGGTGACTCATTTGAGGCACATGTAAATATAATTCCTTATCTTTGTGAAAGTGAAACTGTAATGAAAAGAAATCTTATTTATCCTTTAAGGTGTACATTTACAAAATTTTACTTTCACATATCTTACTAATCCAGTTCAAATCTATTTTTCTCACACTTCCACACTTACAGCCAAGCAATAAAAGATCAAAGGCCGGTGGATGTAGTGAATTCTGAAATTAAAGCATCAAAAGAAAATAAAAAGATCAAGCTGATGATGGCTTACAAAGGAAGACATTTATATGGTGCTGCTTCTAGTTTACAAGGTTTGTTTCTGTCTGACTGATAAACCCTTATGCGATCTGAAACAAGCCTTTATGGACATTGATTTCCAGAATTTACTTAAGTTTTTCTTGTTCTAAATTTGTTTCAAATGGGACATGATGTATAGGGGAATGACTTGCTTTCCGACTATCATCCATGGAAGTTAAGTGCAGAACTCCTGCTGATGATCGAAGCTGTGAAGCTTCAATGATTTTTATGTGTAGCATCTTTTCAATCATTTAAACTGGGCTCAATCTCTGCATAACCTTGATGTTGCAAACTTGTATTGCTTTTTACCTAACTTTTTAAAGGTATACATTTATCTCATTGTCATATTCATTACTTAATTTCTCATGTCAAACTATATACAAATTATTATAAGATTAATTTTCTGATATTTGTTTGCTAGACTTGGTTGAACCGAAAGAGAAAGGGAGGTTGCGCTGATCCTATGATGCTTTGTCAAGAAATTATTAACGGTTTCATCAGTAGTTTGTCTGGAAAGACTGGGTGAGAGATAGATTAAAAACAGAACAAAAACAGAGAACTCCATCTGCTGTTCCAAGAAGTTGAAAACGGATTTCATGTCACTTTGACTTTCATCGAGTGTTGTATAACTTTAGTAACTCATGGCGCTTTCTGAATAAAATATTTGCCTGCAAACAAAATGCACTTTCAACTATGCTTGTTAATATAACACGTGATTTTTCTTTATTTATTTGTTTGTACTGTTTTCCACTCTATATTTTTGTGTATTTTCTTGGGAAATTTCCATAGAACCCATTGGTATTTTAATTTTTTTGTTTAACCATTGTAATATGTTTTCTACTTTAACGACTGATAGTTTGTGTGTTTTTTTTTTTCAAAAACACCACTATGTGTTTTTTCAGGTTATAAATTGCAAGAAGCAATAGAAATAAATTTTTCTTGTTCATGGTGTTTTTTTTTTTTTTTGGTAAATCCAAGTTTTATTGGTTAAATTATAAACAAAGTTATTTGAGTGGTTAAACTGAAAAAATCCATATTATAGTGGTTTTTATTGAATTTAAAGTTCACTAACTGTTTTATTTTATTAAAAAACAAGCTCTTAATGGTTAAATTAGAAAAATACTTTCAATTAGAAAAAAAAAACAATGTACAATGTTATTTTTAAGTAAGTTTGGCCTATTTTCTTTTAACAAACTATATTCCATGATTACACAATGATTTTTATGTTATTTGGATGCTTCCTTGTAAATGACAATCATATTTCTTCTAGTGAAAAAGTAGATTATATGAATAGTAATACGACAATAAGCATAAAGTATTATAAAGTGTCTACATCATCAAAAAAATTGTCTTGATATTAAGAAAGTTCTTTTGTTTATGGGTTGCAAAATGGGTCGCGTAACTAACAATTGAATAATCATCACAATGAATATACATGAAACATAACACATTCATCACCAACATTACATATTACAACCAGCATTGTTCACATCAAATACAATGTTAAAATACATAAGTTCTAATTGTTCAAAGTACGATAAGTGGTATTACATAAACAAAACCATACACACTTGCATATATTCTAGCTTAACGATTACTTGAGAATACAAGTTATTTTGAAAACGGTCAATATATATAATGTTGGTGAGTTCATAAGTATATTTGAGTAAAAGTCTTTGTTTCTTTCATAAAAGCCCAGAAAATCCGATATTTTCTGTAAAATGTTTTGAAAATAATGTGAAAATCGAATATAAANTTAACGATTACCTGAGAATACAAGTTATTTTGAAAACGGTCAACATATATAATGTTGGTGAATTCATAAGTATATTTGAGTAAAAGTCTTTGTTTCTTTCATAAAAGCCCAGAAAATCCGATATTTTCTGTAAAATGTTTTGAAAATAATGTGAAAATCGAATATAAATGCATGTGTGAATTTAATCGTGAAAAACTTGTATGAGTGTAGTTTAGGTTCACTGTATTTTGAATAAATGAAAATTGTATATGATTAATCTCCCCAGAAAATCCGATATTTTCTATTTTATAACATCGTTTAGATTTTTGTATCGTTAGTTAAGTCGTTTTGCATTGACACATTTAAAGAATTTATCTTCAAAAGGTTATCTTTTGGTATTGAATCCATATATGAGCCGTTATAACCATACATGATAATGACTAGGTCGCTCGTCTTGGTATTTTTCCAAATGCTGGTCTTGACTGAGGATGTTGTCGCCCTAGACTAGCCTAGTCTAGCCGTAGCGAACAACGAAGGCGTGGGGGTCACCCCGTATAGATCTATACACAAACTCCCGCTTTCCTACCAGGAAACTCTGATTATAACTACAGGCTATGATTGTACACTCAGAGGTGCCAACCGACATGTCT